CCTTGAGCCTAGCAGTGCCCCGTGAATCAATTCCAGCCTCACACACTCTAGATGCAGCCTCTGACCACCCGAGACTTTGGGGGGCGTCCAGACCCACAACAGTCCACCCCTGCCCCCCAAAGCCTCCTGTATGTTCCTTTACCCAGAAGGCCTTTAGCCCATTTCTAAGAGTTGCTGAAGTCCTAACAGTTTCTGCATTGCTGAAAGTCAAAGTCCAAAGTCTCCTCTGAAGGGCTGGGGATGAAGCTCAGTGGAGCCAGGCCTTCCTTGCAAGCTCAAGGTCCTGAGTTCGATCCTGGTACTGGAAAAACAACAACAGCAGCCACAACAAAAAACCCCGAAAAACAAAACACAAAGTCTCCTCTGAGATTTAAGACAAACTCTTCACTATGAGCCCCTGTCCAAGTGAAAAGAAAGTCAAACATTTCCAACATTCAATGGCACAAGATAGACATTTCCATTCCAAAAGTTGCAAACAGGGGTGCAAAGGAATGGGACCAAAGCAAGTCCCAAATGCAGCAGGGAAAACACTCAGTCCTGTAGTTCCATGTGTAGCGTCCGAGGCAGTCTGTGCTAAGTTGTGAACTCCAAAGGGCTTGGGTGACTCCTCCCCTACGGCACTCCAGGGGTGGAAGCTCCCAGGGCTTCTCTCTTGGGCTGGTTCTGCTCGCTCCTTGAAGTTTTCCTCACAAAATCCACTTTCCTGGCTTCTCCACACTTCTGGGTTCGCCACTGCACCTTCAGCTTCACACTCACAGCTTCTCACTCCGCCCCCTCAGGGGCACCTACCTGCCCTCGCAGGCCTTCTTCTAAAGTCTGGGTCACCCCTTCCCAACCCTGCCACTCTTCCATTCTGCATGAGCCTAAAACCAGCACCACGTGGATGACGCCAAGGTCTGCCGCCAGCGGGAGCAGTAGCCAGGCTTCCCTCTCCCTTGGCTGTAGGGGTTGAGTTCCTGTGAACCACATCCCGAGGAACAGCTCTCCTAGGCCAACACCATTCTGGGCCACGGTGCGGCCACCACCATTATGGAACCTGGTTCTCTGGGGCTTTCTTCTCCAAGCAAATTCTTTCACCTTTATAACTCTGAGGCTGCAAAGAGTGGAGTCCTGCTGTTTCCTGTGATGCACTCAGGCCATCTTTTTTATTCTCCTGTTCCTTCTTAGCAATCACGAGTTCCTCTGCTTTATCTTTGCAGTCCACCTCTTTACTGAGGCTTCCTTTCTGATCAAACTCAAAACATTTTAAATCATTCTGCTGGGCTTTTTGCTCTTGACTCTCAACATAGATCTGGCTAAAAGCTCCCAACAGTAGCCAGGCCACTGCCTCAATATTTGACCGCCTTGAAATCTCTTCTACAAGATTAATTAGCCTACTGCCCCTAATCTCAGTCTCAAGCAAAGTCTCTGGACCTGAACAAAATGCAGACAAACTTTCTGCCAGGGCATAACGCACATTGCCTGGAGTCCAACAGCCAATGCAGTCCTTCTTCCCAGCAGAAACCTCCCGGGCCTGGTCTTTACCAGATTTCTGGTCTTCTGAGCTCTGACCAGAATCTCCGATACAGGACAGCCTAATGCGTTCCAGCTATACTTCTGTAGCCAACATCTCTGGATCTTTCCTAACTCTTACCCTTCCCAAAAGCCAGTTCCAAAGGCTTTTGAGCCACATGGCCAGGTAATGTCACAGCAATGACCCCACTTCTCTGGTACCAAATTTCTGTGTTAGTTACATTGCTGAGACAAAATATCCAACAGGCAAAGTTAGGAGGGAAGGGATTTATTTGGCTTACAGTTCATAGAGGTTTCAGTCCGTAGCCAGCCGACTCCAAGGGGGAGATGACAAACAGGCACGGCAGAGCAAAAACAACATGGCATGCACTAGGCAGCAAAGGCAACAAGGGGATGGAACTACCTTCTTTCTGGAAATGAAAGAGCTCCTCATCCTGGGCTGGGGATGGAGAGGGGCAGAGGCCTCAGCCTTTCTTCTGAGTTGGGCTGGTAGTGCTGGCCGGTGCGGTGCCAGGAGCTGCAGCTCGGCTTCCCCAGGTCCCATCCAGAAAACACGAGGAGCAGCTGAGCTCCGAGCTCCCAGCTCCACATTGGCTCCTATTTCTCCATCCCATTGTTATGGGAGACTTAACCACCCCAGGTGAGGAGTATTATAGCCCTGGAGCCTTCTGGAGTCCATCTTGTTAATGAACCTTTCTAGAACTAATAGGGGAAATAAATTGACAAAAACTCAGGGTGGACACCCGGCAGATCCTGAGCTCTGGGGATGCTGTCACCCCTCCTCCTGCACTGTGTTGGATGATGCTGTTTGGGGAAACAAGAATGCACATATTCGATCTCCAGTACAAAACCAACCAACCAACCAAACAAACAAAAACAACAAAAAAAGAATCCACGTGAGACTCCAGGCAAATTCCACGTTCAGCTGGGCGTCATGGCGCACGCCTCTAGTCCCAGCACTCCGGAGGCTGAGGCAGGAGGATCACTGTGAATCTGAGGCCAGTCTGGGCTACACAGCAAGACCCTGTCTCAAACCACGAAAGCAATGCAGCAAATCTGACGGCTCCTAGAACCTGCCAGGCTCACCTCCCGCCACTGAGCAGGCTGACAGGAAAGCGGATACTAAAGTCTAATGGGAAAACGCGTCTTACCTCAGTAGTGCCTGAATAAGGCAGGGGCCTGGGGGTGACAGCTTGGGTGGGCAGTGTGGGAAGGGGCTCCCCAGTGTGCCCCGAGCTCAGTGCTGGGAGGTTAGAGATGCGGGCTAGGAGTGCGGTCAAACAAAACAAAGCAAAAGTCCTAGTGAAACTGTAACAGTGGTTCCTTTGGGTAGTAAGATGATATTTGCATTTACAGGTTTTCAGTATTTCCTCTCTCTCTCTCTCTCTCTCTCTCTCTCTCTCTCTCTCTCTCTCTGTCGCTTTTTCCACTTTTGGAGACAGAACCCAGGACCTTTGCACTGAGCTACATCCCCAGCCCTTTTATGTTTTTCTTTTTTTTTTCTTTTGACGAAGGGTCTCCCTAAGTTGCTAAGTTGCCGGGGCTGGGGGCTGGGCTTCAGCTTTCGACCCTCCTGCCTCAGCCTCACCACATGTGGCTGTTTTCAGTATTTCTTGACTATAAAAACGACAAGCAAGAATGACTGCAATAAAATGTTCATTAAGACAGTCCTGGGAGCTCTTCTTACCCCGTAGCTGTCACGGAAGGCGTCTCGGCCGGCCATTGGATGACGGCCAATCCCACCTTCTTCCCCTGGGGCTCTGGGTGGAGCGTTTACTCACGGGGCCTGGGTTTCTCCCTTGGCTGAGCGAAGGGTGCTCGGCACAGGTCATCGAGGCCTGCTCCAGGACTGTTATGGGATGAATGGCCTCGTGTGCAACCTGTACACCCTGACAGGGCGCCCTCACCCTTGAGGCTTGGCCGCGGTGACCGCGTGACTGGTCTGCGCGTGGAGCTGAGAGGTCGAGAACGCCTCCCTCTGGGGTCCAAGGCTCTGAAAATCAGTCGGGGAGGAGGAGGAGGGAGTAGGACAGCACAGCCGAGCCTCGGGTGGTCTCGGGCTGCAGGGCTGAGGTGATAACGGGGCGCCTGCTCCCCAACACTGTAAAGCGGGGGAGGCTCCCAGCTGCTGGGCCAAAGGGCTGGGGGCGCGGTGGAGCGGCACTCAGGAGGCTGAGACGGGGATCGCCACAAGTTCGAGGCCAGCCTGGGTGACATAGTGGGGCCCCGTCTCAAAACGAAGACCAAAGCCCTCTGAGCCTTCGTGCAGTTTTGGCGGCACTGGGGCTGGTCAGGCCCTGGGACGCTCTCAGCCTCGGTGCTGGGGCCAGTCACTCGGCTGGGACCCTCCCTGGCTGCTCTGATTGATTAGGGGTCAGGACCCCAGGCCCGTCCCCGACTGCACGCCGTCCCGTCCCCAGGCGCACGGGGTCCTCTCCCCGCGCACGGGGTCCTCTCCCCGCACACGGGAGGCAGGGTAGCCAGGGCCGGCGAGATTCGATCGGGAGACCGCGATCGAGACCGCAGGACCAAGCTGAGCCCGCGAGGACGCCAGGTGGCGCTGTCTCGCTGTGTAGCGCGCAGGCGTGGAGGGAACCGTGGCTAGGGCCCGGGTCCCCGCTCCCCGCCCACGCTGGGCGCCCCGCTTCCGAGACGGGGCGGAGGGGTCCCCGAGGACGAGGGCTGCTAGGGCAGCGTCGCTAGTATCTGCGAGACGGAGACCTGAGGCGGGCGCGCGCCTGTCACCTGCGCTCTGGGAGGCTGAGTCCTGGCAGGAGGATCGCGAGCTGGAGCTCAGCCCGAGCAATTTAGCGGCACAGAGGTTGTGTCTCAAATCAGTGTTACAAGGGCTGGGCTGGGATCCGCTCACGGGCTCCAAGCTCAGGCCCCAGCAAGAACCGGGCGCTGGGGTTGGTGAGCACGGTGGAAAACTGGATGCGGCGGCCTGTAAGCAGGCGCACAGGAGGGCCGCAGCCGGGTCCCTGCGACCCAGAGCCGCCTCAGGGGCAGCGGGGACCGGGCGTCCTCGCGGGTCAGAACCCTCAGGTGTTGGGTCAGTGCGCAGCCCCGAGCCTTGAGCTCATTGTGTATCCCAGGCTGGCCTGGAACTCTCGGCGGTTCTCCTGCCTCAGCCTCCCGAGTGCTGGGATGACGGGCAGGAGCGGAAGGGAGAACATGCGGGTGAGGAGCTCCGAGCCCAGGGGCCCGACCACCGGGACCCAGGGCACAGTGTACACCGCCGGGTGGTTCCTGCACCTCCAAGATTGGAGCACCGCGCTTTGGCCTTGCCGAGCCCGGGAGGGCGAGGCAGGAGGGTTTGGGAACTGCGGGGCGTGGCCCGCACCTGTAACAGGTGGGCTCGCGACGTGAGCCTGGAGCCCTGGCCGTGGTGGGGGGAGCGGGGCGCAGGAACCCGGACACACTGCCCCGCCCCCGCGCTCCCATTGGCTGCGGCCGGGACGCGCCTCCCCCGGGTCCGGTCCAGTCCGGCCGCACCGAGCAGAGCGCAGCGCCAGCCTCGGAGCCCGCGCGTCGCACGCCTGCAGCGCCGCCCGCACAGGTCGGTGCCTCGCTCCGCGTCACCTGCAGGGCAGGGCAGGGCAGGGCACGGCGGGCCCGGGTGGCCGCGGCCTTGGGGTGGGGGACAGCACCGGGATGGGCGGGCGGGCACCGTTGGACGCACCTCTCCTGGGGCTTGGGGCTGGGAGTTGGATCTGTTGTCGTTGTCGTTGTTTGAGGCAGGGTCTGCTGTGTAGTCCAGGCTGGCCTCGAACTCGCAGCGAGCCTCCTGCCTCAGCCTTCCGAGGGCCGGGATGGCAGGCGCGCGCCACCAGGACAGCTCGCGCGTCCTTCTGGGAACTTTCGCATTTTTACCGTCCAGGTGCGCAGCGCACCACAGCGGCCTCGGGAGCCCGGCGGCTGCCCCTCACCTTCACGCAGCGGGGCTTGGGGGCCGGCCCGGGGCGGTGTGCGGGCGCCGCGCCCCTTTGTGCGCTTGGGGTCCCCGGGGAGCGGCCGCGGGACGGTGAGGACAAAACTCGAGCAGCCCCGCGGGTGGCAGGGGCTCGGCGCGCTGGGCTTCGCGTCCGGCCGCGGGGGAGGTGGCACCGGGGTGCAGCGCGGCTCCACCCCGGGGACCCTGAGCCCCTCGCCCGGTCCTTCGAGCGCAGAGGCGTCCGCGGGAGCCGGGCTGGGGGCTCAGCCTGGGTCGGGGGCTCTGCCCTAGGGAAGGAGCAAAAGGAAACTTGTGCGCGTCGCGGGGCGGCTCCGAACCTCATTCCTTCTGGGGGTTTATTTTCTATTTACTTACTTTTTTGAGGCGGGGCCTCGCAGTGTAGGCCAGGCTGGCCTCGAACTTACGGCGATCCTCCTGCCTCAGCCTCTGGGTGCTAGGAGGACAGGCGCGCGCCACCCGGAGGGTCGGCAGGGGCAGCAGCTGGCGGGGACCGGAGGGCCTGGCCGGAAGTGGCCTTGGGGCCGGCAGCGGTGGACGGCGGAGGCCGGGCGGAGTCCACAGGTGCGCACCGTGGGGCTCAGGTGCGGGGTGCTCAGGGTGAGCTCGGCGCCGCTCCGCCCGGCTCGCCCGCCGCTCTCTGGCCCGGACCAGGTCCCTCGCCCCGCGGTGTCGCTGCGCGCCCGTGGTGGCTTCCTTTGCGCAGCCCGGGGCCTCTAGGACTTCCGGCCCGAGGGGTCCCAGCCGCGTCCGCCCGCCCAGCGCTCCGGACACAGCCGCGGGAGGCCCCCGGTCCGGGTGGGGAGCGGGCGGCTTTTGAGTCCCGCCCGCCTCTGTCGCCCCGAGAGGGACCGAGGCTGGGTGGGGGGTCTGCGCGCTCAGGGGTCGGGGGCCGCGTCCGTCCTTCAGAGGCGGTGTGCACGCGTGTGCGCGTGGAAAGCTGCCTTGCTCACCACAGTGAAGCTCTGGGCTCGCCCACTTCCGCAGAGGAGCCGTCCCCCCGACTGCAGCCGGACCCCACCGCGGCGCGAAGCCCCGCACCCGGCCGGCGGGGACACGTGTGGCCCGGACCACGGCCGCGCATGCACGGGCCTGCGGGGCTTACTGCGCGGCTGTCCTGTTCCCTCAGCAACACCTGGTCCCATGACTGGGGTTAAACGTTCGTCTCCGTTTAGAGACCAAATCGCAGACCTTCAGGGGAATAAAGTACAGGGGCCCCCACAGCTGGCCCGAGGCAGAGAGGTGATTAAGGGAAGTCTATGTGGGAGGCGAGCGAGGAGGACACGCCTGTCATCCCAGCACCCGGGAGGCTGAGGCAGGAGAATCTCTTCGAGTTCAAGGCCAGCCTGGGCTACACAGCGAGACTCGTCTCAAAGAACCAAAACCGGTCGGCTTGGGATTGGAGCGGGCTGGCTTTTCTCGCGGCAGGAGGGCGGGCTGCGCCAGCGGCCAGGCTCACCTCAGCCAACGCCACACCGCGGTGGACCCGACAGCCAGGCGCAGCTCTGACCACTCCTCTCCCTGCGAGCTGTGGTTTACGCCAGGCTGGCCATGGGGGTCTGTGGGGGTCCCCGTCCACACGGTCACGCAGGGGGCCCTGGGGCACAGAGCTGCTCGGGTGGCTCCGCCCCATCACATCTGCGGAGCTGGGCTAAGCTGGTGGAGCGGCAGCGTTGCTGAAGTGAACTTGCACTCAGATCCTGTGCATTAGGTAGTTCCGAAGGCTGCCGAGCACCTGGCAGACTCATGGAAATGGGACAGAGGTGCCCTGGGCGGCTGTGCCTGCTAATTTCCAGCATCAGGCCGACTGCAGATTGCGTGGTGCGCACAGCCCCGGGCCTCCAATCAGGGACTGAATCACCCAGGAGTCAGCGAGTGCCTCGAGGGCATGCTGGAGGTTTGGGTTAGGGTCCTGTCACTGTAGGTCACATGACAGACACCCAGCCTCCAGAAGGCAAAGCAGTCCTGAGCCGGGACCTAGCTAGAGAGTCGCAGTGGACAGGTGTAATCCATGGGCAGCGGCAGGGTTGGCGCCCTCTGAGAAATTGTTGTGGCTTCCAGGAGACCACGGTGTGCCCCGACGTAAATCAAACAGGGCCCCAAACCTGCTGTTAGTTCATCTGAGACACTGCTTGGCAAAAGTTTCCAGATGGAATCCCAGTGCACTCTGGAGGCTGAGCCAGGAGGGTTGCTGTGAATTTGAGGCCAGCCCATACTACATAGTCTCAAAAAGCATAAAAACAGAGAACAACAAAAAGCTTTCCTCAAAAGGGAAGCAGAGCAATTCTTCCATTTGGATGTTTAAAATCAGTGGCCTCTGGCAGTGTCCCACTGACAGTTCAGAGACTGCAGACAGCGCTACTTTAGGCCAAGCCTGGGGACGTTCTCCGCCTCTGGCTGGAAGTGGTCATCCTTTCTGCCTTATGCTTCGTTCTTCTTTCTTGTTTGAGTTCCTTCCCAGTTTCCTTTGTTTCTTCTGCCTCCTCACCCTCCTCTGTCTTTTCCTTTTTCTCCCCCGCCCCCCTTCCCTCACTACAACGTCACTGTTTCTCTCACTCTCTGTTTGGATATTTCGCTCCTAAATACCCAGGTGAATCCAAATATCCAATATGAAACCTCTCCAGCTCTCTGTCTTTTAAAAAGCAAAGCCAGGAGAGCCCAAATAACCAAGAGGAGAAATGAGGATGCAAAGCAATCACAAAACCACAAGAAATTAAAAGAATTGCCTGATAATTAAATAAATTATGTGCCAATAAATTAGAAAACTTGGGTGAAAAGAATTATTTTTAAGCAAACTAAGTTATTAAAGTCGATCCTAGATTATGCAAGAATGAAATAAAAATAGCCACAAAATATTGAAAAAGTTGTTTAAAAGTAGTGTCTCCCAAAATACCAAACCCCATGGCTTTGCAAGAGGCTAGTAACAAAAACATAAAATACAATAATACAGCCAGGTGTAGCGGCACACACCTGTAGTCCCAGCACTCAGGAGGCTGAGACAGGAGGATCACCGTGAGTTTGAGGCCAGCCTGGGCTACATAGTGAGTTCAGGGTCAGCCTGAACCACATACCAGGACTCTGTCAAAAAAAAAAAAATACAGTAATCCCTATGCTATTATAACTGTTCCATAATAAAATTTACAGAAAGAAGGAAAACCTCAAAGTTATTTTTATAAAACCAGAAAAATAAAACTAGGAAACTTGACACAGCATAATAAAAAAGGAAGCTATATAGACTCATGTCACTTAGGGCTGCCAAGGCACTTGTTAATACGAAGAGCGGGTTAACAAAAACAGCCCAAGTTTAGATCATGCTTCACCCGCAAGTTCAGTCGCAGATGTGGATTAATATAATTCATCATCTTCAAACGTTAAAGGAAATGTCATGCTATCCCCTCTCTGGCTACAGTTTAACAATTTGTCAGACTCGTAACAATAAAATCTACCCGGATGGCTAGTTACTTAACATGACGAGTCTTGGTTCACCAACTTGATCCTTTCCACAATTCTGGTCACAAACTGAGTTGGACAAGAATGGAATCAAATTCAGTGGTTGGGGAGAAATTTGATTCGGGTCCCGTCCAGTTCAGTTTGCAACCAGAATCATGGAGAGAATTGAGTTCGTGAACTGAGGTACCGCTGTGTCTTCTATCTGCCAGTCTGTCTAGTCATCTATCATCGAAACCAAAGTCCTGGTAAAGAAGCATTCCCAATAAAAACAAGAACAAGAGAGGATGCACAGTATTAATATTCTAGAAATAAGCCAGGCTTGGGGACACACGCCTGTGATCTCAGCACTCAGGAGGCTGAGGCAGGAGAATTGCTGTGAGTTCGAGGCCAGGATGGGCTACATACTAAGTTCAAGACCAGCCTGAAACACAATAGTGAGACCCTATCTCAAATCAAACAACAACAAAAAAGAAATAACTGTTATAAACTTTGAACAAATGTTAAATTATTGCAAATAATAACCTTTAGTAATGTGATAGGTTATAAAATTCATATAAAATACAATTGTTTTACTTAAGCAAAAGCTTATTTTCAAATGGCTAAAGAAAAACCTATTTGCATAAGAAATAAAAATATATAAAATATCTAGAAATAGATAAATTTAATTGCCAAATTTATATGAAAAATATGTAAAGTCTCATGAGAAAGTGAAACTCACTTGAATAAGCAGAAAGGCAAATTCTTGAAAGAAAGATGGAATGTTATTTTTAAAAGTCAATCTACTGGGCTGGGGATTTAGCTCAGTGGTTCCAGCACCTGCCTTGAAAGCCCAAGGTCCTGAGTTCGATCCCCAGTACCAAAAAAAAAAAAAAAAAGTCAATCTACTGAAATTGATTTAACATAATACAAATTTTGAGGGATTTTTGGTAACTAGACAAGACTATCCAGAGAGAATATTTAAAGGAAGATATACAGCATATCTTCATAAAGTTTTGGTATTTACAATTATTTAACAGTCACACATGAAGAGAAAGATCGATAGAAAATGAAGAGTAACATGTCTCACCTGTGAGCAAAAGACAGATTATTCTGTAAGTGGCATGGGACTAAGAAGCTGGACATTGGGGAAAAGTTAGAACTTTTCTGTGTGCATCACA